TAGGGAAAAATACACAAAAATGTCTAAAACTATGTGTGGCTGACTGCAGAATTTTCTATCATGGCACAACCTTGTATACATACTCAAAAAAGAACATTTGATATTTAATACTTAAGACATCTAGCAATTATTTACCTCTTTCTTGTTCATGTCTTGAATTAATATTTGGTCGTGTCTTGCTGAAGATGTTTAAATGGTCTCTCATTACTGAATAGTTTTCAGATACAAAATATTAAGTAAAATGTCTATCTTCATAGTCTTCTCTAACAAAATAACAGTAGTTTCATCACACAATGGAAGAATTGAATTGCCTTGTCTGTCTACATATAAATAGCATTATTTTGTACTGAATCGTATTGTTTGTACTAAAAAGATAATGATCTGTATCTTACTCTGAAGTCATATGCCCAACTGCTCTCTTGTGTGCTACCTGTTTTGACATGGCTGCAGAGCATCACAGGAATATGAAAAACAGCCTGGTAAATCGTCAGGCTTTGGAATTAGGGATCTAAGATCACAAACTGCATCAAGTTCTGCAACATTAGCTTGGAAAATGAGAAAGTTTAACAATTTGGTGGACTTGCTACCTCACCTGGCCCAAGTCTCACCCTGGGTGTGAAGGATACCACCCTGTTATTCTTTGTTTAAGTATGCTGTTGGAGGATATAATTAAAATGCAGGTCAACTACGCTTAAGTTGCATAAGCAACTAAAAGCACACGTAAGAAAAATAAATTTAATTTTTACTTGAAAGTAGATGTTAGTAACAGTGGGACTATACAAAGAGATTCAGACAAAAAATCACATTCTATCCTTTATTTAAAAGTGTGCAAAAGATTCCTTAAATAAAAAGTGTTTACCTTAATAAAATAAGTTCTCAAATTGTTTGGAGGTAGAACAACATTTGAAGTTCTTTTTTTCCCCTCCAGATGTTTACTATAAAAGCACTTTTACTTTAAAAAAATTGTTTTAGAAAAGGGTAAAAACATGATACATACTTTAGGCCTTGCCACATCAAATCTGAAAAGACTGGGAAGAGGTTTAAATTGTACCTTGATAAAAACCCCCACTGCTGAGAAAGATATACATTCAGTCAACAACTTTTATTGACTGAACGCTGGTATGAGTTTGGCCCTGAAGCATTCGCCCAACTTGTCCTGCAGGTCTCAGAGCGGTAGAACCAGAAGAATGGAGCACAGTTCGAGGATATTTAGCAGCAGTAGCTTGGGATATGGTTTGCTGAAAAGTAATCAGATACATCAGAACACTTAACGGTACAAAAGAATTCCCATTAAAATAGCTCTAAGTAAGCTGTTGTTTACACGGAAAGATTTGCAGTCCAGCAAACTGAAATACACTTAGCCGAAAAAAAAAAAAGGTTACTTTAACAGAACGAGTCATTTTTTTCCTTATCTGTAATACACTTTTTAGAACATAAAGTGCTAAACTTCCAGTTAACTAGGTACCCTGAACTTTTATCACCTCAATCTTATTTCAAGGTTGGTTTGTTGGTTTGGTTTTTGTTTTTTTTCTTTTTTTTTTGAACAAACTGTTCAGAATTTTCCTCTGTAGTGCTAATTTAATCATGCCAGCTTTGCTGTTGTAGTTCAGTATTTGCTACGAGGAAGTGTCTGTAAGTCTCTGGTCTCTGAAAGGAAAAGGTTTCATTGTTCTTAAATAAAGGCAATTTTCTCCCCCCAAAACTAGACACCTTACTGCAATAAACAGTAGTCATTCTCCTTTTAATCAAGGTAAACTCTCTCCCTTGTCAGATTAATTCAAGAGAAATACTTCAATCTGATTGACTTGCACTTAGGCATTTATTTGCAGAAAGAGTATAGGGAATGTAGCTCTGGGACTGTCACCTTTATTATATTTTTAAAATGAGTTTTTGGTACAGTAGTTAAGGTACTTTACTTGTCACACAATCTGAATCCGGAAATCCTTCTTAATAAAAGAAGTCTCACACCAAACCTCTAACCTCCTAAGGTCCTATAATTTAAATATGAATTTCTGCTTGAGCCCAAATTCTTGAAAGCTGTGTGCAGCCTGCCACAGGGCTCTAATTCACTGCAGGAAATGAGTGAAAGCAGAACATCCCTCACACAGACAGTTAACAATAACGCCAGTTCAAATTAAAGGACCTGATGTAGCTCTGCTTGTTCTGACAGTATCACGGAAGAGAAACCGGACTTTCAGATAGCACAGAGGAAACTCAGGTCCTACTTTACAGGTTAAAATATAAAAAACCCCACCTTCAACCGTTTCATACACCTCTAGCTAAAACCATTTTTTACTTAGATTAGTCTAAAAGTGTTAGCAATTGCCTAGGCCACATAGGCCACTGTTTACAGTCATCTTGTGTGTTGCATTCATACCTAGTAATGCACTTATTTCAGTGTTTTCTTCAGGATAAATGGGGGGAGGAGGACTCAAAATACAACAAATAGCAGGCTTGATGGATTTGCTTGCCTCCAGACCAGGGTTTTACTTTTTTTCTCAATAATTTGCTATGCTCAGCCCATCAGGCTAATCTATATCTTTGCCACCTCTGGTTCAGTCACTCTTCCTGCTATACATCATGAAGCTTTTCTTTAAACAGTGGTTGCATGGTGATGACACCAAACATTGCTACACCAGGTGACGACTTTACAAAGAAGACAACTCATGGAAGAGCTGGCCAAGAAAGAGACAGCCAAGACTACTATACCTGTGAAATAATTACTATAGAAACAAGACAAATAGATTAAAGTGGCAATTTTTACTTCCTCTCCTCCCCAGTGCTTTCTACCCAGCTCAAAGACAGTACTGTCTGTTATTTTAAATAGGCCTCAAGTCTGACCCTTGTCCAATACCTCTTCATGATGGTCATTTTTCTTTAAACTACTACCAGATGTGTTGTAATAAGAATACTGTTCCAAGCATAATTCTGACTTACCTGAGTGACAGGATGATGTTTTTCAACAATGACTGAACTCATGGGTGGAACAACTCCCATCACTGCTAAACTACCACAAATTCTGGCTTTTTGTCCCATATCGGCTCGGCCTGTGATTCGAGCAGTAATTGTTCTTCCTGCTTTCTGTTGAGCAGATGTTATTACTTTCGCCATGGGCTACAAATAAATTAAGTACTAGTTGGTAAAAAATTCTAAACATAATATTTACAATGCTGTAATATGTCTGCTTAGTTTTAGCAGACACGTGCCTAAACAGAACATCGGATATTGCAGGTAATCCAGTTATGCTATATGGGACTGAATTTACCCCACCTAGTTGCAAGCTGGTTTATTCCATCTTTACCCACTCTTAAGTATGAGGCAGCCTTTCAAGCAAGTGACTTCTATCCTGAGGGGAGAAAGGTTATTTTGACAAAAATCAAGCAGCATGGATAGTTTAGCTTTCCTCGCCGGCTGCATACTTACGTGAGAGCTGCAGTCACTTCCATCACCCTGAAAAGTCTTTCCAGCAGTGACACAACATACAAAAAAGCTTCCATGCAGTAAAAGGCTGCATCTTTCTCTGACAGCTGATAGCAAACTGTACCAGATAGGAAAAAGAAAGCAGAGCAATGCAGAAGACAGTGGAGAAAAGTAGAGAGGACAGTTTAGCAACAAATACAGAAGAGTGAATGAGAGAGACATTTCAAACAGCAGGATGCTGAAGCAAAGCACATTCTTTCCACAACAAAATGGTATCAAGCGAAACACCAACTGTTCCTGTTGCGCTACACCTAAGTGTACGTACACTCTTCTGTTCTTCATTTTGTCACACTTCCCCCTCCCACATCCAGAAATCACTTAAAATTGCTCTTAACATAAATGGGTTTCTGTAACATTACTGAGCATTTGGAAGCTAGTGTCCTCACACAGCTACGTAAACTCTATGGCAGTCTCCTCAACTACATACTTGTGTTGCTCTGAAAAATGCAGACAATATATAAACCAATATTTTTTGTTATTATTATGCCTTAAAAATTTAAAAAGTTAATTTTAGCACGTTACCAGTTTTTGAGTTGATGCCACACCAGATCCTGCAGCTGTGCTAGTGATGATTACTGGAGAATCAGAATCTAGTCTGGTCTGAGAAGTGCTTGCATGACCCAGGTGGGTAGAAAACTGTAAGTGAAACCAGTTTACAAAGAATGAGTATAACCTTCTAGAAATTTTACTGACAAATTTTACAATTTTACTCTTTAGACAGTTTTTTGACTATTCCAATTACCCTTCTAAATTTAACTTCTTTGCCAATATTTCATCTCTATTTTTACCATTTTCTGTCTAATTTAAAAATACTTATCTAAAAATTGCGGAAACTGTGAATAACAGTTGATACTACAGGAATGAAAAATCAGGAGAGAGGGAAGCACATCTCTGTTCTAACCTGTTCTCTAGTGTGAAATTATTTTACAGTGA